CCCATCCTTTTGAGGAGATTTTTCCTACTCCGGTCGTGTTCGGGGCTGTTTTTTTTGGGGGGGGGGTACCAGGTGACCACGGCGGAGGTGTTCATCCGCGTGGACCCCAACCTCAAGATTCGGGACGCCGCCGACATCGCGCGGCGCACCAAGAGGGCTCTGTCCTCCAGCGTGCACGACCTCTGCTCCTCGGAAGTTCACCTCGGTAAGCAGTGATGTGTACTGTACGGATTGACGACAAGGAAAACGGGGACCGACGTGTTGCATTTGTCTACCGCAGGTAGGGTCAGATACCACGCCTCCTGGTGGATCGAGCTCTCCAAGGCTCGATTATTCTGCAGCAGAAAAACGGCAGTAGCGCTTGTTTGGTGCCCTGACCGTCCTAGCCTAGGAGCGGTCCGAGACCTTCGGGCACCTTGTGATCGTGGACGATTGTGTTCCCGTGTATGTTGCTGCGGGTAGTTAATCCGTTGCCGCGATGTAGATTCGGCGCGTCCAACCCCTTATTTGCAACTGCTGCACCGCGGTGCTGTTTTCGTCGTGAGTTTTCTCGCTAACCTTTCGGCCGTACTCCCTCCCGCACCTCTCCCCTTGCTTCTGTCTCTCGCCGGCAACCCCGGTTCTCTTGCTCGATGGCGCATGCGGCGGCCGGAACTGGACCGGCTCTGGGCGATGGTCTGGGGTACCCGATTCGGGGACGCGTGTCTGCGTGTCTTGGGTGTTGCGCTGAAACCCCTTGTGTTGCTTGTTTTCTACTCCTGTTTTCCTTCGGCCTTGGTTTGGCCTCATATATTTGTATTTCTACGTACTTCGTACATGTATATATATTTTCTAGACCTCCTTGAGGCTTCCAAGTTCTATTGATATCAATATGTGCGTGAATGATAATGTAGACTCGGGCTTGAAGGAGACTCTCGCGCTTGACTCTTTTTATTTTATTTTGAACGAGTCGGAAGAAAGCGTTGTGTGGTGTGTTTTGAGCTTGTGCGTTTGAAAAAAGACCAACTGCAGCTGCTCGTTGATTGTTCGGCCCTATCGTGTGGGGACGTCTAACGGTGTGGATTGGTCCGCGGTGTGGGCTTTGGTCAATGCCTGGCAATTCCATATTGGCGAGTGTAGAACGCGTTGGTGTGTCGTTACGTAAGTGAAGATGACCCTGGCACTTGTTTTCATTGCACCGGGGTCCCGATGTTGAGCTGGTTGTGACCTCATCTCGCCTTTGCTCGCTCTCCAAGGTCAGGCTGTTACTACTCCGTGTGTTGGTGTTGTTCGTTGATGTTGTGTGTATAACCCACGAGGGGACCGTAGAGCATGCTTTGCGTTCTCGACGAGGCGTGCGCAGGACTGATGGGCAGGCACCCGCGGGACTCTGATGAACAGGCACCCGCCCCCCCATGCGTTTTATTTTTATTTTATTCGCGACGGAACCACGTGCGGAAGCAGTGTAAGCTGGTAGCCAAGAAGCCCCTGGAGCTTTCTCGTTGCAACCCTGTAACGGGTGTGCCGTCCACCCGAAAAAGATGGTCTGCGACCGTGCCGCCAACACGCAACAGGTCGCACAAAATATGGTACGGAGTTGTTTAATGTTGTGTTCATGCGCGTTTGTCGTTCAGCTTTAGCCACGCGACACGTTCTGGTGACGACCAAGGGCGGCGTTGTTTCACTCTTTTATGTTTTCTTGCAGTAGTTTTTTTTGTATGTCTCAATTTGTGTCCGAGCGATTGTTTCGCTGTTGAACGAGGTGTCGATGAGTTTCTTACATATGTTGAATCCCTGTCACGTTTGTGAAAAGTCAAGAATTGGCGAAGCTGACCTTTTCTGTGTGTCTTGTGTGTTAACCTCTTCGACCCCCAACACGAACTTTGCATTCGGAGCGGAGTCGACGAAGCAACGCCCATGGAACTTGAACCGGTCCCAAGAACGGGCGTGTGTGTGCCGACCACCCTACCGTAGGTTGCATTAGGTATCACACTCCCTGGACCGAATTTTCAAAGCTCGGCAACCCCACTACGAAGGGAATCCCACCGTCAAATAATGCATTTCGGAAAGCTCTCGACGAGGAACTTCAAACGCCACCGTGTCGCTTTTGTTTTTCTGCAGAGCAATCAAGCTCTGAACATCGTTCCAGGGGTGTGGCATCTGCTGCAACCTACGGTATCCGTCCACCATCTCGACAACTCGAACGACGCGATTGCGAGCACCGATTCCCCCCCCGGCCTGAAGCACACAGGCCGTATCCACCACCCTTGTTGCGGGCGACAACCAACCGCGTCCCTTAACTCACAACGAGTGGCGTTGATGTATCTAAGCGGGGGCGAGAAACATTCGAAACCTGCAACAGTTTTTTTTTCATGAACCAAGCGTGCTGCAGCTGCGATCGTCGATCGATGATGATGCTCCTCCCGCGCGAGAGATCTCATGCAATCCTCCTTCCCGTACATGGCCATGAAAAGGGAATGGTCAACCGCCGCTCATGTCGCTCGCTCGATGCCATCGGGGCTGTCATCACTCTCCCGGGAGAAGGAAGCCACCTTCAAGCAAGTGGCATGCCCCCCCCGCCCGGCTCCTGTCCGATCGAAAGTCATGCCGGGGGCTGGGGGAACGTGTGGCTGCCGCCCCCTCAACTTTCCTTGCCTTGCGGAGGGGACGACGGCGACGACCATGGTCGTACGGACGTGCTGGTATTTGCCACGCTGTATCCTAGCCTTTGTTATCTAGACCTTGGCGCACTCAAATCCGTTGCCCACATACCCCATCACCTCGTTGCCCCCCCAGCGACCAGTTCCGCGAACTCAATCTTCAGGTCGTGAAAGCCTTGGGGCCCGCCGTTGGAGCACTTCACTCCCTTGTCGGATCTGTCTACTCCAAACCCTCTCGAATCGTGTTGTTGCCACCCTCCTCCCTCCTTGTCGACGATGTTTCTCCGAAATCAATTTCCAGGCCGCGAAGCCTCGGCGTCCGTCTTTCTGGCCTTCCGCTCAGCCCTTGCCGCCGTGACAGAAACCTTCGTCGTCACGGTCGTAGTCGTTGCTGTATCTTCCGTTGTCGTTGCTGCCGGCAAGGGGACCGCGGTCTCGACCCGGTACACCACCACCGCGGACGTTAGCGCTCTCAGCCCGGTCCTCGTGGGCAGGACCTCCTGCAGCACGCTGGTGTGGAGGTTCTCGTCCCTCTCGTGCCCAGGACCCCACACCTTCGGGTGCCACTTCGTGACGGTCAGCTGTGGCCCATTCACGGGCGGGGAAAGGGGTGTTGTAAATAGTCGTCTATTGAGAGAGTCTCAACTTTTGTGAGGGTTAGTGCAGGGCAGTATGCTGTCAAGCACATCTGGAAGAGAAGCGAGATGTTGCTCGGTCGTGGTTTGATAGCACCTTGGGAGCAACTCTTGGCATACATGAGGGTCTCCTTCCCGTTCGTTTGAGCAAAGTGTTCACACGAACAAGCAAGCGGAGACCCGTGGCTGCAAGCACGCGATGACCCCCAACACGGAGCTACCCAGAATGGTTCATTTTTTGCGTGCGCACTGCCGAAGGGGGAAACCAATGTTGGATAAATTGGCTGCCCTCCTTGACGTTTCTGGGGATTGGGGGGGGGAATGTATATTAATATCTTGTGCGTCCAGCTGCACTCAGGGTCAACGGCTGCAGCTACATGTGAAACGCACGCAATTGACGGGCAGGTAGCTAATGGGGTTGGTTCCCCATAGAATAAGTGGAGAACGCGTGACACATAAGGCATATGGATACGAGGATAAGAGCCCAACACGTCGATACAAACTCACAGCCAGAAACTTTGCGATAGCCGGAGCACCGCCTATCTATCTCTACGGCAGGTCCTTTCGAAGGAACCACGGTCTGTCGACGATGTGCTTCTGGCATGCTTGCGAGGACGAAGCGCCCGTACCTGCTGGAAATGCCTTGCGGCGGTAAGAACCGATGTCTCCGCCTCGGCCCAGGCGGGATCAGACCTCTCCCGCACAGAGCGCATCTCTTGCCGGCTGAGACTGCCGGCCAAAAATGCCACGGTGAAACCCTCCACGCCGCCCTCGAACATACTGCAAGGGCGGGTTTGAAGCCAAGAGGAAATCATGGCAAACAACGACTGACTCTGTTATTGTGCTTGCTCAGGTTAGCCGTTGTTGCTACTGGCATTCTCTGGTGAACGCATGCTTCCGCACGCAGGAAGTGTGTCAGTCGCGAGCTAGCACTCAGAGAGCGTGTGAATCACCTCGGGCAGTGTGAAAATACACGCTGCTGCCCGTACCTTCATGGTATTTTGCTCGACGCGGGTCAATTTCGTTATTTTTTCTATCGAATAAAACAACGGGAGGTTCCTCTGAGGTTTTACACGCGGGGTGTGGGTACCGCACCCCCCCCGAATGTATTCGTTCAAATATTTCGTGCTTTGTGTGAATGTATCAGGGTGTGGCGGCCAACAGTGCCACGTACGTTCACTAGGTGCCACTTCCGCCCGTAGATACCTCTCTCTCTCTCTCTCTCTCTCTCTCTCTCTCTCTCTCTCTCTCTCTCTCTCTCTCTCTCTGTCTCTCTCTCTCTCTCTTCGTTTGCACATCAACTATTATTGCGCGGAAGTTACAGACGGGAATAATAAGGGCGGAAAGAAGAACAAGCGACGATCAGCTTTTCCTGACATTTCCTGACTACCCCAACGCATCATCAACGACAAAAACTCGGAAGTAATGCGAAACAATTCGAACGCTAAAACAAACACGATCAAAATGAAGCGCATCGAGGACTCACGTGGGATAGATGAAAGTGGGTTGCGGGTCTTGGCCTTCCAGCACCTGTCTGAGCGCTCCGTTTCTCTTACGGTTTTCTGCGTCCATCAACTGCGATAGCCGAATGATTTCGCATATTTTTTCATGGGATATTGTTCTTGGCGGTTGATCCCGCAGTTCAGGAGCTTTGGCGGAGTAAAAGCAATGCTTCTTAGGGTTGCCTGCTGTGGCTAACACCCCACTCCCATTCTCAACCATACCGCTTGCGCAGCGCGCCCTTCTTCTTACCTCAACAACTCTCACACGCCCTTTGTGGCCGGGGGTCGGTAGGGTGGGGTGTAGGATACGTTCCGAGGTGGTAGAGGGAAGGATATGGCTAAGAGGAAGGAGGCCCACAAGGCTTCAACGGCGGTGGGTGGCGGTTTGGCGGTGGAACCAGTGAAGATTGCCAGGGTGGAGTGGCCGAGCCTCTATTTTTGGTTTGTGGCCAGGGCCTATTGTTAGAAAGGCTTACCCATTAGACTACTCAGTCACCACTATTCAGTCAGCTTTAACACCTATTTGTCAACCGCACGATTCAGAACCTCCCCCCCACCCTTCATGCGACTCGTCGAATACCTCACGGTGCTTCTCGCTTGGTGATGTGAGAGCCTGGTCCGGTGAGAACCCGGCGTGCTCCGTCCCGGCTTGGTAGGGATGCGAGGTCAATGGTCTAACGATTACGGCATGCACGACTATGAGTACACCCCACACTCTTTTCTCGTTGGCTCGGCAGGGCCTAACCTCATCCATGTCGTCTCAGAACAAAAACAATGGCATCGACCCCCGTCCCCGATGTTGTCAGTGATAGTACGAGACATATTTATACCTTTTCGCCCCAGACGTCCCACGCCGAAACACCAAAGTGCACCCCCTGGAAAAACTGGTCCGGCAACCTGAGGTGGCCTTCCTTCGGAGCGACCGTGGCTCCTTGCAGTATGACCTGCCGATGGCTTCCTCGACCCCCGTCCCCGATGGTGATAGTGGTTGCTTTAGCGAGCAGCCACAGAGAGGGAGGAATGTGCGACAAAAGCGGCGGTGGCAGAAGGCTCCAAGGTCAGGTACATCTAGTAGAGTACCCCGTGCGTGCTAGATGTCGATCTCTACCGCAATCAGTGAGTGCATGCGTGTCTGATATATTCCAGCCCCCAGATCGTGTGGTACTGCAGTGGATGCGGCTTAGATGCCTCCTGCCAGCAACACATACGTGAGCGGATTGCACTAAGATTGTGAGGTGTAGGCGCTTCTACTGTGTTGCCACCGTCCAGTTCTGGACTGTACGCATACCTGGAGCATTTTGTACTTGAATTGGTAATAATCCCTTGTCGTGTGGGAGGGGAAACGTTTGTCGGCTTTCAAAACTGTTTCTTCGCATGGGCGGAGACGTGGGTCCTGCTTTGAATCACCCGCTGGGTACTACTTGTTTGAGAAGGTCGTAGTTCACCTTGCCTTGCGCCCAAACCGACACAGACTGTTGCTTTTCCGGGCAACGAACGATACACACTTCGGAGTCGTGGGCTCGTGACCAGGGTCTGTGTTCTGACTCACCACCTCTCATCCGAGAATCGTGCAGGAAGGCCTGCTCTTCTGCCGGAGGGATTCGCCTAGCCTGTTTCCGTGTTTGGTTAGGTCATCATCCACACGACACCAGTGTCAGAGTGTCGGAGATGGCGTGGCCCTTGCGCGTTTCATCGTTTTGAAGTATTTTCGGTCTCTTGGGGTCAACTTTCTCTTTTTTTACGAAAGCAGCGTTGGCGCTCTGACGAGGCGCGGGAGGCTGGGTCATCATACTTGTGAGGGGAAGCAGTACGGTAGACCCCGAAATACACCCCCCGACAGCCAGGTTCTTCGCGGATTCGGGCCACTGAAGAACCGCAATGGCTGAAGGACCACAATGGAAACCCCCGCAATCACAAGCGCGTCACAGCTGCAAAATATTTTCCCAGTGCTACGCCGCCCTGCTAGGAATCAGCACTCCGCGCCGTTAGAAGCGACTGGGCAAGGCTTGTAGAATAGGTCCCAAGGCGAAGGCCTTCCCTACAAAAGCAGACAGCTGTGTAGCGATACACGTCTAGTTTCTATGTCGTACCGGCAATCGGGGCGTGTCGCCAGCCCCGGCGCCGCTGTCGTGGGAGGTCAAGTGCACAACGGCGACTAGGGATACGGCGGCGCCCAATAGGGTCGTCAGCAGTATGTACCCCACGCCATCTCTGCGAGGACAGAGTAGGGGTAATCGAAGAGCAAGGGTGCGCACGGTGGTTCGGTTCGTCGAAAATGACACTGCAGGCACACAACAAGCACAACGAGGGAAATGATGCCCACGAAATATGTGGACATCGCACACCGCTATTTTCGTTCCCCGCACCCATTATACCTACCTACGGACGCAAATAAACGCGGGCCGATAACAAAGGAGCGTCATGTCTCGGTTTCGATAGAAGCCGCTACCCGCCTGCCAAAAACAGTCCAGGTGGTGTATCCACCCAGGTGGAATTGATTTGTCGAATATATATCGTCGAGCTATCCTGGTTGACTCTGATTGGTTCAAACCCACAAAAATTGTCATTGACGTACATTGTAACTCTTTAGTCAGTCGGTCTTGCGAACCACGTTTTCTACCTTGCCGCCAACCATATTTCGTGCCAAATGGACTTGGGCGTAGTCGTCGAGAGCGAGCCGTACGGGTTGCTGATCGCCGTGGGAGCGTCGGTGGCATCGGCGTCTCTGCCGTCAAGATCGTATCCTTCTCTGGTACCTCTGTCGTATCCACTGCCCCCTCCGAGCGCCACCCCCAATGACGCCGCCACGACCTTCGGCAGCGAAATCCCGTCGGGGCCTGAATGCGAGTCCAAGTTACTAACGCCGCCTCCGTTGCCAGTGTTGCCTTCGTTGTTGTTTTCTCCTCTCAGTCTCCGGTAGGACACTCGGCGCTGCACGGGTTGTCGTTCCCCGGGTTGATCGTCGAGAGCCATGATCGATGAAGATGGTCTTGGATGACGTCAAAGTCTAAGCAATCGAGCCCGCAGAACAAAACTTCACGCAGCACTCACTGTCTGCCACTCTGTAGCGATTCCCCCACAAACAGTACGATCAGCTCATGCACGTGCCATTTGCATCGGATGATCAATCACCGAAGCGGGGCTAGAGCTTCTCCCGAAAAGCAGCTCATATACCATGTTGTTTGGTGCCTGTTCGTCGATTTGAGGTACGCCTCAACCGCATGTACAACACAACCTTTGAGGGTCTTGTTTCTCCTCGAAGGGATGGCCGTTACAAAATCTTTTGGATCGATGTGGTACAAATGTCTGTACAATCTGCGCTTCCCGTCCCGGCAATAGACACCGCTATATTGTCACGCTCATTCGTCCATGCCCTCCGGGTGTGCAAATGCAGAAAGAGAAACAATCTTGCTCGATAATCGGATCTTACTACCATCAGTGATTCCACGATGCGGGACACGACATTGTTGGTTGAATATTGGCGCACGGGCGAAGTTGCGCCGCTTCGTGTCCCGAGGAGGCTCGGAACTTTCCCGAGAACCTTGCGGATCCAGCCAATTCGGAACCCATTCGTGAGTTGTTGTTGTTGTTGTTGTTGTTGTTGTTGTTGTTGTCTTCACATCAAAAACCGTTCCGATCTCTCTCTACCCAGTACTGTAACTTCGTTTGTCCGTACTGATCCAACACTCGACGCGGTCGGTTCCCGTGGTCACAGGTTAACTTGCCCTAAAAAGGTTCACTCAAATCAACTGGCCCCGAGCGGTCCGCAAGTCAATAGAAATCAACGACAGATATTCTGGAGTGTCGAGTTTTGAGTTTCTTTCGAGTTTCGAAGGTTGAACCACATCCCGTTCGACTGTGGGTATATCTCGAATGGGTAGTCTCTCTGTGTGTGTATTCATTTTTTCTTGATCAGTGTCGATTATTTACACTGCTGTGTCCAACACAGATGATCAGGGGTAGACTCGGTGATTGTCGATTGGAATATGGCTCTGATTGGTTGTTCTCTTTCACTGTATGTCCACGGACGCATTTTCTGACAGCTTCAGACGTAGTACTTAGTTGCGCGCCCCGAACTTGTACCATGCCTATACCATGGTGTTATTGTACAGGCAGCACTCCAGACAGCTACGCTGTAGTCGATATTCATTTTGGCAAAGTGTAGGACAGGGGGGGGGGTGACGCTGCTGTAGTCGAATGAATGTAGTGTGTGGACGGGTAGTTTAGTTTTTGGGCACGCACACGTGTGCTGCAGAGGGATGCAGGTGTACCTCTTCGGGCTTGTGTACCCTTTTCTTGCTAGTTTGCGTGTTCTTTGGATCTTCTGATGGCTGTAGCATTATTTTTAGGGAAAACGACACAACAGGGTATACCCTGGTCGAAAAGCGACACACCTGGGTACACAGTCATTAACAGAAGTAAATGCATTCATATGATTGGTCAGCGCCCAATTTCACCCCGGTACGTCCGAAAAGGCGCAGGGTATACCCTGCTGTGTCTACTTTTCTCACCAACTGTACCCTGTTTTCGAAAGTGTACCCTGACCTGACGGGAAATAAGACCCATTCATCGATCATTTCCCCCGCAGGAATCTTCCCAACTCCTTTTCCTCTCTAACCATGGGGTACCAAACGGCGAATCTTCCCACCCAATAACAACCATGGCAACGCGGCAGGAATCAGTTTCCGCCCCTGCCAAACAACACCAACCATTAACTCTTCCGCTCTAAATCAACAATGGCCGGGCACTACCCCAGCACAGCAGTTGTTCCGTTTGGAAACATGCACACACGTGTACAATACCCCGTGCACCACTGCTTGCTGCAGTCTATATGCGACATGCACGGACGGGTCACGTTACGAAAGCGAGACCGATCCAGCATGGTTGACATGCATATATATATATGCATGTATGCAATGTATGGACACAGCACTACACGGGTAACGTTGGGCGCCGCCACTCCCTCCTGCCTGTGCCGTGTGTGCGTGGGTGTGTTGTCTGTTGTGTCTCAATTGCGATGTGTTTCTTGCTTGAATTACTACTACTGCTGTAACAGCAGCGGTCGCGCTTACCAGCCGACCAAGCCGACCAACCAATCAATGTACTGTATGTAGTAAGAAGTCGTCAGGCTTCAGCGGGATGAGCCGATGAAATACACCGCGAGCACAGGGAGGGTGATTGAGTTGGACGACACAGTCCTGCTGCTAGAGTTGTTAGCACTCGCTCCTCCTTCCATGATTGATGTCAAGGGCGTGTCTGTGTGTGATGTTGCTGCCTCTCTCCTCCGCCCGCTCAGCGCAGCGCCACACATCATCGGCACATACATGCATATATATATGCATGTCAACCATGCTGGATCGGTCTCGCTTTCGTAGCGTGGCCCGTGCATGTCGCATATAGACTGCAGCAAGCAGTGGTGCACGGGGTATTGTACACGTGTGTGCATGTTTCCAAACGGAACAACTGCTGTGCTGGGGTAGTGCCCGGCCATTGTTGATTTAGAGCGGAAGAGTTAATGGTTGGTGTTGTTTGGCAGGGGCGGAAACTGATTCCTGCCGCGTTGCCATGGTTGTTATTGGGTGGGAAGATTCGCCGTTTGGTACCCCATGGTTGGAGAGGAAAAGGAGTTGGGAAGATTCCTGCGGGGGAAATGATTGATGAATGGGTCTTATTTCCCGTCAGGTCAGGGTACACTTCCGAAAACAGGGTACAGTTGGTGAGAAAAGTAGACACAGCAGGGTATACCCTGCGCCTTTTCGGACGTACCGGGGAGAAATTGGGCGCTGACCAATCATATGAATGCATTTACTGCTGTTAATGACTGTGTACCCAGGTGTGTCGCTTTTCGACTAGGGTATACCCTGTTGTGTCGTTTTCCCTTATTTTTACCACGGACCGCGTCTTTGCTAGATTTTGGGATTATTAGCAACCAAGGGTAGGTAGTAGGTCTTAACGAAGGAATCGGTTCTCGATTTTGAATTTGATTATAAGAGTACAAGAGTCGGATCTACCCAAATCCGGACAGAAATGACCTGTGTGTCTTAACGGGAGATCTGCCAAATGGAAACGAATCTCTGCAGTCCACCACCAACAACCCGAGAGGTCCGCCGCTTGCCAACTGCCAGATTGCTGTTGTGACGTACTGCTATGACGTGGCCATACCACATGGGGAGCTATAGCTCCCGAGAAGCACACACCAAACACGTACATGGCCTCTGTGCGGTACTGACACGATGTCTATGCATGTGACACTTTGAATCGACCCTCGTCCGACGGAAAGCCGCCAATTCGTCTGTGCATTTGAAGTTCGACAACCCACTGCCCCATAGACCAACACATACATCCCACACACGTTTTTTTTCGGGACCAGATGCTGGTGATGCTCCTGGTCACGCCCCCGCCTTGCTAATAGGACATTATTCCTCTACTGCTCTTGCGCAACAAGGTGCCCCACCGTGGGTGGGTGTGCCTGTGCGCACTCCGTGCTGGATTGGTGTCGCGGCTTGGTGTGGCGCCTTGCCACGGCACTACTTTCTGTGCGTCAGTGCGTCACTTGCCGTCGACTGGACCGCTAATGTTCGAAGTTGGTTTCGTTTCACCCAAATCGGGATCCGATTAAATCATTTTACCGTTCGACTGTGGGTATATCTCGAATGGGTAGTCTTTCTGTGTGTGTTTTTATTATTCCTTAATTTTACCTTTATTTTGATTCCCGATTTGGAGAAGGGGGATCCGATTATAAGTCCTAAAGATTCCACGGGTTCCAGAACTTTTAGCCAATCAACAAGAAGAGAGTTCTTTGGATCTTGTGGTCTTATAATCAAATCGGGAATTGAAATCGAGAACCGATCCCTTCGTTTTTAAGACCGACCCAACAACAAACAACAGCACTCTCACACATCGGGCAGGTCGTACCCCTCTACCCCGCAGCCCGTACCGGGCCGCAGCTCGAGACAACACCTTACAGGTGGGAACGGCGGCGATTGACACGGTGCACAACACCCCTACTCTCTTCCACACTACAGCTACTGTGTCCCCGGCAGGAAAGAAGGGCGGGTAAGAGGGCAACAACATTGAATACACCTAGGGTGCTTGGTGCTGTATGCATACCATATTCCACAAAGAAAGCCTGTACATATATATATATATTATGTACGTACACAGACTATTCCGAAAGGCTCGCGACTGCTCGCGATATACGTTGTGTCCTCAACATACATATATATGTATACCGTATACCGTGTTGAAACCCCATCAACACGGCTCACGCGCACGCTCACGTGCGCGTGCGGCGAAGGTCCCGGCTTTGCTGTGTCCTCCGAAAGCTGGCATGCCTGTACGCTTTCGATTGTAATTTTCTTTGCTGTGTGGTGCAGGAGAGAAGGCGCAGACTAAAACGATCTCTTTGGAAGCAACGTAGACTAGACTATATATAGCGTAAAGAAGATGTGCTGCAGTAGTCGATGATATGTGTACATGGTCCATGCATATATTTCTTGCGTTTGTATACATACGCAATGCAGTCTACTGACCAAGGCAAGAAGAAGTAGGGTGGTGGTGGTGGTGCTACCGGTGCAGTGTACCCTCACTGACTACATGTACACTGTTCGATGAGAGATAAACGGTGGTGGCGGGGAAACTTTGACCACAAAACTAAGGAGACAGAGCTTCTGTACCCATAGACAGACGCACAGATTCTGGGAAGAGCCTGTTTCGGCGTTAGCGCTTTCGGGGGAAGCAATAGAGAACGCCAAGCAGCTACAACGTACTGCTGCGTGCTTGTGCGTTCTGTTTGCATACATACATGTATATTTCAGCAGTAGATACGGGTAGACTACATCGTCCGGGGAAGATCAGAAACAAACACGCAGACAGGAAAAATCCTCTCTAGGGGAGTATGCAGAACCACAAGCGGAAATAATCCTACAATTTCAACGGCTGGCTCATCGCAGCCAGTAGTGCAGCCGGCGTTTCGGATCCAGCTGTTGCGTGATCTATAGTCTAAGAGGAAATGTTTCTCCGACGGGAGTTGAGGACGAAGGGTCTCGCAGCTTTCTACAGTATGTAGCAGAGACAGACGTGCTTCTGCTCTCTGCTGAAACGACGAGTGACTGATCATCCGAATCACTACATACAGGTGTGTATCCACAATGGGATTTTGAGTGGTGGCCTACACACACAGCAGCTCAAGTTGCACGGCCCCCTCCGACATGCGCACATGCCCAACCCATCCGTCTACAACTGCCTGTCTATGCTCGCTTGTCGACGTACGCCGGCGCTGTCTGCGCCACAATCAATCGTGGCGCTAAACCCACCGCCACACCAACAATCAAGAACCAGAACAGTGTATCAACCCCACCACTTCGCAGTTACAGTAGTTGCGATATACCATAAGTTGCTTAAGATCTTCAAACTATTGCACTCCACGACGAAGAGGATGAGAAGTATTCGGAAAGCTCTAGGCAGGACGGTTGCAACGCCGCCATTTTTTCCACCGTCACTCGTTTTCCTGCCGAGTAATCGAGCTTTAAAAAGCGGTCCGGGGTGGGGGGGGGACTACGTACACTGGGCACGTTTTACTCGATGCACACCGCGACGAAAACGGGAGCAGCACGTATGCAACACGAGTTCAATATCCTCTATGCCACATCTGTGTCACCTTGGGCATACACACACATGGGGGTGATCTGTGTTCAGAAATTTCTTGGCCAGCAGGTGAAATATATAACCTCTCGCCCAAGCCTTTCCAACATCGTCCTCTATTTACCTCCCCAGCCCAACGTAGTGAGAAACACAAGATGGCCACGAAAATATACTGCTCTGCTGTGTCTTTTTTTTAGCCTGTCATGCACAGAGGGGGGTTGATGGCTGTGTGCTGCTCGAGGAAATATAGAAACTCAGGTTGGTCTACAACCCCATGAATTCGTTGCTAATCTATGATATCAGATATTCCTGCAGGGGACAGATAAGACGTAACGTGTGTCGTGCTATTGCAATGGAGTATTCGAACAAATAAAAAAACATAAGCTGTGCACATTAACATCTCACTGCAGCCACAGTAAACAGAAAATCAATGTTGGAAGGGCTCCCCGTATGTACCTCTGCTCGATCTCCCTCGGCGTGACTCTTTGGAGAGGCGTCGTACAATGTAGGGTTGCCTACCAATTTTGGGGCTTCAAAATGCCAGATGTGTGGCTTTAGTGCTCCATGTCCCGTAATGAGCTCGGTCAGACGACAAAGAAATCCTGGCGAAACATCGTGGCTCAGAGGTGAACATTCTACAATTTTCCTTTCCTGCCGTTGTGCGAGGTCAATGATCTAGCGACTACGGCATACACGACTATGAGTACAGCCCCCCACCCACCCCCCTGCCGTTGTGTGACAAGGCAAGGGCTCTCCAGCCACACCCCAAGCCGAGGTGGTGTGAGAGACTCGAGACTCGATCTTCGCTGCACCAACGGCGACGAAGGTAGCGTCGACACGGCGTTTAGGCGTCATCTTCAAAGACCTCATCATCATGGCCGCTGGCGCGACCGCTGCGCCAATGCTGCTGCTCTCCCTGCTGTCTTTTTTGGGGGCCAGGAGCGGCGGCGGGGGGAGCGGTCCTCTCCTCCCGGGCGCACGGCATCAGCACCAGTCGAGCAACCTCGGGGGGGTTGGCAAACGGGGGGGGGGGGTACGAGGTGGAAAATGGGGAGGGACGGGGGCGTTTCAAGACCCCTCGGTGGCAGCGGCGGCGGCGGCGGTCACAGAAAGCAGAGCTGGGACTTCCCTTGCTGGTGCTGGTGCTTCAGTATCTGCGACAACAGCACGGACCCTACCAGCAGACGGGGATTACTTGACCCCCGCCGATTTTGAGGGCCCGCGAATCCGGTCCGAGCGGCGGACGCCTGGACGCGACTCAAGAAAATACTTTGGTTTCAGCGGCGGTGTTGTTGATATAGTTGGCGGCGGTAGCGGCGGTGACGCGAAGAGCGACGGTCGGGAAGGGGGGCCGCCGTCCAGGGAGAGCCCTAACGTTTCCCACGGCTTGCTGTCGGCAAGTGGCGACCGATTATCGGATAACGGTCGCGAACACTCCGGCGGCTGGCACCGCGAACGCTGCTGGCCTGACCACGAGACGGGGCGGCACCGGTGCCAGGCCAACGTGTTCCTCTTCGGCGTGTCCAAGTGCGGTGAGATCATTGTACCGCAGCAGTAGTTGATAAGAGTGCCGGTGGTGGCTGTCTCTCGCATACGTTTGAACGGGGCAAATGTCAAGACAAAGAGCAAGACAACATAAATTTATTGATTTGCCACGCTTTTGAACTCCAACTCCTGCGGAAAACACACGACTCCCTTGCTTGCAGATAGGAATGTACAGACGGACGACCGGACAGCAAAGCTTGGGCAGAGAGAGCAACAGATTCCGTACAAATCATGTTTATGACAGAGCTCAACAGCTAGCCGAAGAAGTAGGTGCGGAGAAGAAGTTTAGCTTCCCCGCGAGCTCCTTCGACAGCCAACGCCCCCCCCCCCCCCCCTTTCCCCCCCCGGGGGGGTTTTTTCCCCCTTTGTTCCCCTGGGGGGGTTCCGGGGGCTGGTAAAAAGATTTTGGGAACGCGGTTCCCGGAAAATGCATTAAAAGCTTCCAAACCTTGTGAAAGGGTTTTTTTTTATTTTTCTCCCCAACTTCCACGTGGTTAGGGGGGAAAAAATTTTTCGGGCTTTTTTTTTTTTTTTTTTCCCCCCCTTTCTTTTTGGGTTTTTAACGTTCCCCAAAAAGTGTTTCCCGCCGCCGCCCCCTGCCCTTTAAAAGGGTGGGGGCGTTTTTTGGGGGCCCTTTTTTTTGGCTTGTGTTTGGGGGGCACCCCCCGTCCCCGGGGGGTTTTA